TTGACGTTCCGCTTCCCCACGGGGCCATGTAGCACGGAACTGGGGCTCTAGCAATGCGCTCGACTACGGGCGCTCGATCCAGAGCCCTATATATATATATATATATATATGTGTGTGTGTGTGTGTATGTCATACACATATTCACACATCGAGCCCTAAACTCCAATCCTTCGACCTTCCTCCCCCGTCCTCGTCTCCGGCAGCACGTGCACCCTGGCAGCCAACCGGTGGCAAGGTTATATCTAAGTATGCAGAGAGAGAAAGAGACAGAGAGAGAGAGAGAGAAAGAGACAAACAGAGACAGAGAGAGACACAGAGCCAGAATAGCAAGAATCGGCTTCTGGGGTGTAACGAAATAGAAGTACCTGAAGGGGATGCTGTTGCTAATGAAAAATTCGACACGAATTCGTAGATGGTTCAGGTCTCAGGGTTGCAGGTCTGGGTTCAAGGCGTAGGGCCATTAGTGTTGAGGGGTTCAGGGTCTCGGGTTGGGGCGTAAGCGTTCAGGATTTCGCAATTGAGTTGTCTACCAGACAGGGCCGCATCTTGGGGCTGTGGGGCACGGCTCTTTAGGGTCCAGAGTCTGCTTCGGGGCGTAGAGTGAATTGGCTGAGTAGCGATCTGAAGCTGGCTCAATTCTCATGAAAACTCCGGCCCGCATGCATGCTCGCAGCTGCTTGTTGTCCAACATGCCGCACAGGCACAATGCAAGAGTCCTTTCCAGTTTTGGCTGGTCGGCAGGAAACGGAAGGGAGAATGCAAGAAACGAGTAGATGACCCGCAATCGAGATCCATCGAGATCCAGTCCCTCACGCCTTCCTGCATGCGCCGAATTTCTCGAAGCATCCACGTTCAGGGCGCCAGCCACGCACCCCTTGCTCCGTTGCGCTGGACCCTGAACCCGAAACTGTGGCCCCGCAGGCCTCTGTTTCAACACAGGGGCAGCATTAAACAACTGAACTTAATTTGTCATAACGCCGAGCTCCTCTCGGTTTTCGCAGCTTCCCAGTACACCATCACAGCAACAGTAGTGAGCTTCTGTAAGCATTGAAACATGACAGTTTCTGAACCTCAGCGGCAAGGGAAGTTGCAGCAGAGTGGCAGTGATTAGTCTTCGGGGCCTCGGAAGAAGTGGCGCCACGGATAAAGGCAGCTCACTCAGGCGCGTTGGGAAGATCCGAGTATCTCCCAACCATCGAGCGAGTTCGCCGGCGAGAACCTGATTAACACAGGTCGGTTCAGATTGAGATGTAACATGTTCGGAAGTCGGGAAAACGTCCAGGATTATTCACCCTCAAAGAGTCTTCAGGTACTGGACTTTCCTGATGAGGTTTATCCAGCTTTATGCAGGAAGTCTAGACCCTGAGCGCCGCGGAGACCAACTCATCCCACAACCTTCGACGTGAAAACCGCAACAATACAAACCCTAGCCCTGTGGTTGGTGGGTTTAGGGCTTCGGGCCAAGGATGATGTTTTCGAAGTTAATGGGGTTGATGCTTTGGGGTGCGTGTCTGCTGCAAGCACACTGAACCTTTCGGGTTCAGGGCATCTTGGACCCGCAGCAAAGATGGACGAAGTCCCGGATGTTCAAGCCGGAGTGCAAGATGGTGCGTCTCCGCCGGAGCTCCGCCGGTGCAAGCTCCTCAGCGCGAGCTTGAGTTCACGCTTTCAGGCTCTATACGGCTTTTCGAGGATGTCTGGTTCACATGCTGCCCAAGCGATGATAGTAGCATGCCTGGACAAGTCGAACTAGCAAACGACGAAACCTCTCCCAATGCTCCAAAACCTTACATTTCCAAGAGTAGGCTACAACCATAAGTCCCGACACGCAACCCAAACTGGACCCAAAGCATGAATGCTACCATATCGTCTAAGCGCCACATGAATCAGGTCAACAAGTCCAAGCGAATCTGGGAAGCACGAAAAACGCAAGTGACCCTAGATTCTTCGCCGCTCACCCAAGAAGGCTTCTACGAGGAACACAAACTGTAGACCAACCTGACGACCGCCAATACAAGGTTGCCTTGCGACCCCCGTCACAACTTGCTCAGAGTATTCGAGCAGGATAGACTGCTGAAAAGCCACTGGGGGGGCCTTCTATGGCTCCTGCCTTCAGCTACACCCGTTCTCGAGGTCTAGAGGTCGCGCATTACGAGGAAGCAGGAGGTCAGCATGTTTTTGTGGCCTAAGGATGGAGCGAAGTCCACAAGGATCCGGACCCCAACGCCTCCTTCGGAGCCAGGCACCTGAAGCCTCCGGAGCGCTTCCTCGAGCTCCCTCTCATCCGTCAGGGAAAGAGCCTCGCCCGTTATGTGGTTTCTTTCAGGCTGCCATGCGCTGCTGACTGTACATCTTTAATGAGCGTTTAACTCTGGCTGTCGCGTCGGCGCAGCTAACAGCTGCGATTTAAACTCTGGATTAGATAGTTCAGGGTTGAGGCTTTGGGATTATCGGTGAGGGCATGAGCTAAGCCAGCTGTAGGATGGGTTCAGGACTTCGGATGAATATGGTAACCCATCGACTTCCGCAGTTCCATGGATTGAACTCAAGGTTTGCATCCTCGAAATCATCCAAAGGCACACGTCCTCGTCTGAAGAAGGCCCAAATTTACGAACGGGATGAAAAGTAGCGGTTCAGGTCATATTTAGGCTCACAGGTCTTTTTCTGTAAAACGCAAGTTGAGGGCCCCAAGTTGGAAGTGATGCTACGACGATCAGAGCAGCGATTGGTCAAGAAGAGGTTGCACTTACAGTTTTCCCTAAACCTTAAGCCCTTAACCCTCAGCCCAACCCTCAGCCCACTCACAGGTTGCGGAGTTAGGGCGTCATGCTTTAGGGTTTAGGGCGCAGTGCTTGCAGCGCGTCGCATGCAGATCGAAGGCTTCAAAACCACAAACCCCGGGACCCAGCACCCATGTATAAACTCACAACCCGCAACCCCAACCCGTAACCCACCACCAACCTCACTAACCTTAAGTAGACTCATCCTCGACCCTGCAGACCTACAAACCAGGCAGAACGTCCTGCCTCGGCCAGGGATTGATGAGGGAGCATCTGCTCCTCAAGAAACTGACGGCTCTGGGGTCTAGGATGTGAGGTGTAAGGTGTAGGGTCCACAAGAACTGAAGGCTCTGTGCCTGAGGTGTGTGTTTTTCCGCGTGGTGCTTTAGGGGAAACTGTCTGCCTGCTTTGGACTTTTGCTTTATCGAACCAAATTATTATGTTGTCTTGGGTTATATGCTGCTACTGCGCTAAGCCCGAAATCCTAAACCCCAAGCCCTGACTTACACAGCCTAAAACCTAAACCCTGCGGCGTAACTAGTCCCTAAGCCCCATCTCAACCCCGAACCCCACCGTCCCGAGCCCAATAACAAGGCCAGCCTCTACTTGCATCCCACCCCCTTCCAAAAAAAAGCGACCCACACCTGCCGGCGCATCAACTCCTCGTCGATTTCCCGGATCCTTGGGCGCTCTCTGCAAGTAGGGCTCGGGGTTTAGGATGTATACGGTTTAGGGCTTGAGGGTTTTAGGATGTAGGGTTTAGGTTTATATGGTTTAGGGATTGGGAATTATCGAGCCGTTGAGGCTTTCAGGATTTAGGTTTTGGGGCTTTGGGTCTCACTCCTGTCGCTCTTTTCTTCGGCTCAGTGGTGGTCCACATGCATTTGTTAGCCTATATGGGCTGCGCAAGCTGAGCGAAGGGTGCCTGAGGATCGGGGCTGCTTGCAAACGCAAATGAGGCTGAGGCTCGTGAGGTTCAGGGCTTGGGGTTTAACAGCCTCACACCAACCCTTTTCAAACCTGGAACCCCAAAACTCTGAAGCCCAAACCCTGAACCCTAAACCCTAAGCAATAAACCCCTAAACCCCAAAGCCTGAAGCCTAAACGCCCCAAACCTTCCCAGTGCAATGTGGCATCTGCTGGGCGGCCAGGGTCTTATACTTCTTCTTGTCTGCCTCGACCTGGGATGGGGGAGCTTTCACTTGCTTCAATATTTGTCTGCGCGCGCTGCGGTTCTACAAGGCTTCGATACAGGGTCTACCAGGGTTCTACAAGTGTTCTCTGCCGGCTCGCGTTCAGAAGTTTGCGGCTCCAGAGATTGGGCATGGTCAACTTTCAAGTCTCTCGAACTGCGGTCATGTCCCTCCACACTGGGCATGGCTTGGCCAGACAATTGAGATGTCAGAAACCTCACGAGACATTAAAGAGCAACGTCGATCTGGCCGTGGACAAGCACAGGCGTGGAAACCCGTCGGCACTCCGACGGGCCTCCCTCCAGACCATGTTCCAGAAAGTGTGGGATGGCACGGCCGCTTGCAAGGTTCACTGCCGTCCAGTTCGGGCAGTTGCGGAGATCCAGTTCTTGCCATGTGACGTGGCCTCGCGGTGCTTGAGAAGTACAGCGAGGTTCAGAGCCGACGTCTTAGGATCATCCTTCCACATGCCCGGGTTCACATCGGCAGCCCTGGAGCCTGTTCCGCCGAATCCCTGCAATGCTTCTAGGGGGATCCGCGAAAGAGAGCTCGGAGAATGCCGAAACTCAACGGAAGCTCCTCGGCCGCCTAGACCTCCTGACACAGAAACTCGGACCTACACTTGTTGTACTAGCACGACTCAATGCTAGCAACGCGTGCCACACTATAGACGACGGGTAGTGGTCCAAAACGATCAAAACGATCATCATCGCCACCACCATCATCAATCATCATCATCATCATCATCATCATCATCATCATCAGTCGGCCCCACCGACTCTCCTATCCCTAACACAAGGCCTTGAACACTCTGCAAGAACTTACCTGCAGTCTCAAACATTCAAAAGACACGAGTCGCGAATCATCCGACAGCATCCCTACCGTCACACTCAGAAACAACACTGTCGTCACTCTAAGGAGACTGGGCTCGCGTTTACGTTGCCAGGCGGCTGTCTTCTTCGCCTTTTCTATGAACTTGTCAACCTTGCTCTCAGTATGTCCACGCCCCTTCACCACCTGCGGTAACGAGCAGCTGAAGCTGAGTTGATTTCTAAGGCCTTCTGGCTGTTGCTGATTAAATTGCGGGTTGGTGAATAAGGTCGGGTCGTAAAACAGCAGGGAAGCTCGGACAGCCTGGGACAGCCCCACCTGGAGAAGCTGTTCCTGAAGGGTGAGGGCCAGCTGCCAGTTCGGCGTCTTCGGCGTGCGCTTCGAAGTCCCGTACACAGCACCGCTGAAACCCACGTTCAGGTCGGGATCCGCTCTCAGCATGTCCAACACCTCTTCTTCAATCCTCAGTTGGGTATTGCAGTCTTCTGACTCGGCACTCGGTGTCGAAAACTGCCCCAGAAAGAACATGTACGACTCGCGTTGCCAAGAAGCAGAGTGTGGCTGCAACCTCCCAGGCTCATGCGTGCCTTGGCTCTATTCCGAAGCACCGTGAGAGCTGCGCGCCACCTGAGGGCCTGATCCAACGACTTGGTGCTGCTCGTGATCACGTCGAGGCTGGACCAGGTGACTTTCACCACGCAGCAACCGTGGCTTACAGAGATGCAACGGTCCACCGATCGCTTGACCACATCAGCCTCGCTTGACGAGACCACCCTTTGTTCTGCGCGGAGTTGGGCCCGCAATTCGATAAGGACAGCTGTGGACAGTTCCGATGCGCAGACGCGGTCGCCGTTCACCTGGCAACGCAAACACAGAGCACAGAGACGCAAAAACACACAGTTTCCGGCGAGCACAAGCAAAGGAAAGTTTCTGCAAACTATATGGATTACAACGTTTCCGAACCGATTTGTGCATAATGCCATTCCAACATTAGCAACGAAGTAAACTATAGCCATGGGCTCCCTCAAGCATTTCAGAGGCGCTGCCTGCATGCCGTGGAGCAGTGCACGCGCCTCGCCCCGTGGTTGGCATGGCATTGGTGCATCTTCCTGGAAACGACCAGAACCTGTGGTTCAGACATGGTAGCTCTACACTGATGGTGCAGACGGTGAAGCTGACGATGGAAACGACGATGCTGCGGTGACGATGGCGATCATGGTGATATGATGGTGATTGAAGTGATGACGATAAGGGTGATGAAGATAACGTTAATCATAGGACTGTGGTGATGAAAATGGAAAGAACACTATGGCAGTGATGAGAAGAAGAAGATGATGATTGTGATGAGATGATGATGATGATGATGGCGATGATGATGATGATGATGATGGTTGTGACGATGCTGATTATGATGAGGATGACCGATTGTGATGATCATGATCATCATCATGGTGGTGATGATGGTGATGATACTAGTAATGATAAGGATGATGATGAATATGGTGAATATGGTAATGATCATGATGATGGTGATTATGGCTGTGATGGTGATGACAGCGATGATGATGGTGGTGGTGATGATGATGATGACGACGACGGCGGCGATGATGGCCATGATGACTGCATAGCAAAAAATGGTAACGCAATCAACATAACAAGCCAAAATGATGGCGATTGGTATAGAACTCGACACTTCAGCATAACTGCTTGCATCTAGTTTCCCCGCTGCTGCTACTGCCTTAGCACTTGGACTTCCGATCCTGATATTGCTGCTGCTGCTGCTGCTGCTGCTGCTGCTGCTGCTGCCGCTGCCGCTGCTACTGCTGCTACTGCTGCTACTGCTGCTACTACTACTACTACTACTACCACTCCTACTTCTACATGATGGCGATTGGTATAGAACTCGACACTTCAGCATAACTGCTTGCATCTAGTTTCCACGCTGCTGCTACTTCCTTAGCACTTGGACTTCCGATACTGATATTGCTGCAGCTGCTGCTGCTGCTGCTGCTGCTGCTGCTGCTGCTGCTGCCGCTGCTACTGCTACTACTACTGCTACGACGACTACTACTACTACTACTGCTACTACTACCCACTACCACTACTACTTCTACTACTACTACTACTACTACTACTACTACTGCTGCTACCACTACTACTGCTGCTACTCCTACTACTACTACTGCTACTACTACTACAACTACTGCTACGACTACGACTACGACTACGACTACGACTACGACTACGACTACGACTACGACTACGACTACTACTACTACTACTACTACTACTACTACTACTACTAGTAGCACGACCACGACTACTACTGCTACTACTAACAACTGCCGACTTACGACCAGCTGCTAATTGCTCAGTGCTCAGTCCTCACGGCTCACTGCTCACTGCTGACTACTATCTGCTGGCTCCGGGTAGACACGGAAGCAGTAACAGCGGTTATTCTAGTCGGTCGCAACGACCGCAGTGCAGCTTGCACAGCAACCGTGGCAAATACAATGACAAGTGGCCTGCCGGCAAGATGGCCAATGCATGGGAGGAGCACGTCAGACAGCAACAGGTGTTGCGTAACAAGCAGGCTAAAGAACAGAAAACAGTGATTGAGAAGTGTATGTCCGAGTGGGTCTTTAAGCTACGCTTCTTCCGCACTGGCTATCAGCACCACAAGAGGTGTTCAGACCGGGAGCTGGGAGGTGCAGCAACACTATGAACTTCAAAACACGGAGGCCGGGACAACTATGATAGCAAAATACATGACACTCCGATAGCCAGCCAGATAACGCATCAGTCGTCAAGACATGCATGATTCATAAAGAAGAAATCAGGACCCGACACACGTTACGAGTTGGAAGGCAAGCCGTAGAAATATGATGATAATAACCACTGCCACCAAAGGAAAACAGCAAAATCAACAGCATCCACGTTCATTGGGCTTTCCACTGAGAAACAGTCCCACTTCTTGAGGCAAGTACCAAGTTGCAAAACCTACAACCACGACCAGACTCTCCGACAACAACCAGATGAGAACAAACCACTAACTCTCAGCCCGACCAAGAAAGTGCCGAGAGCATGCTCAACATCTTCACAACAACACAACCCCGTCAGCGCTCGTACTACGTCAAAACCGACAAACTACGCAGGCAGATCCAAGAAAAAGATCCAACTGTTTCGTCAGGGGGTTCGAACCCAAGCTGGGCAGTGAATCTTCGCCTAGCGAAACGACTTAGGACAGTCAGCGATAAATCTTATCCAAATGAACTGCTGAGCGGCTGCTCAGTCCCACCGCCTCGTCGTACTTCTGCCGTCGGTCGGGGTCGGAAAGAATTTCGAAGGCCTCGCACACGTGGAGCCTAGATGAACTTAGTGGTCTAGCCACTCGTCGAGTTCCTCTTGGCCTTGTCCTCCTTCACACAACGCTTCATCTCGCTGGGAAGCACAGGTCGAGGGATTTAAGCTTTAGGGCTTAGGGGTTGCACTCGAGTGCCGCTGGCATTACTAGTGTTGCCACCATGTCTTATGACTTCAGGACTGCCGTGTGTCGTTGCCCTAAGTGAAACGCTGCTTCTCCAACTTCCAGCTGTGATGATGTTCATGATGCCCAAGGTCATTATTTTAAGTTCTTGGCGAGGCAAGTCTTCAGACACGCCCTCTTCACGGCGCGAAGGCCGAAAAGCAAACCCAACACCCGGATCATACAAGACCCAGGTAAAAAAACCTGTAGAAACCCCAGGCGCAACGCCCGCCCGCACGAAGGCCTGCGTGATGCGCCAGGAGGCCTCCGTTGCGGCGTGCAGTTCGCTTGCATCTGGCTGGCGGCCCAACCTTGAGGCCAGGGCCTTACCTGCTACAGGGGCTTCGGCTTCAGGGTTTTAGGGTTTAGGATTTTTACATATATATATATATATATATATACACATGTGTATATATATATATATACATGTGTATGTATACATATATTCAGTCGAGAGTCAAGCATCGCACACAGCAATGGCAACAGACATGAATATACGCAAGACACGTATTCCTCCTGAAGAGAATACAGGCGGAGGCCCCCCTGAACGCTAAAACCGAAAACCACACCCCAATCATGGCTGCGACGACTCAAGAAACTCCAATATATCTCATTGGTTTTCAGTGAGGGACGAGAGAGACTGCACTTCTTCTGGAATCCGAGGTGTCGTCATATGAGAGACAAAAGCGAATTCAAGGGCTTCGCTTCGGAAGTCCCCCTCACACCCTTGCTCCCGAGTTGCCCTGGACCCTACTGCTTCCAGCCTTCCGGGTCAGACAAAAAAAACAAGCCGACGCCTTTTGCCCGCGAACCCGGATGGCCCTACGTAAATGCCCTTTCTATTCGTCTGAACCGCACTCTCTGATCTCTTTCTAAACCCGAAGCCTTAAACCGGACGGTCCTGACCCACGTCAGATTTAGTGCTGCCAAGGCTGTCGGCGTATTTATCAAACCAACCCAAAAGCCTCATGATCCTGAAACCTTGACTGCAATCCGGGAAGCTGGACCGGCAGCTTGTCCGGATGCCTTTGCAGTGCCAGGCGTCTGTAGGCCTGCTTGATCTCGGCCTCAGTCGCATTCCTGGCGAGGGTCCCCAAACCCCAAACCTCAACCCAATGCCCTAAGCGCTACTCTGCAGGGTTTGGGTCTAGGGTTTCTAGGCTCTTACGTCGAGTCTTTATCTGCGGGGCTCAGTTGAATCTGCAGCCTTCCAAACACAGCCCCCAGACCCAAAACCCTTACAGACCCTTGTAAGCCTTGTGCACTTGTACACCCCTTGTAGATCCCCTAAGGAACCGTTAGAAAGGGTCTAGGGCTGGGTCGGTGCCTCTCGATGCCCAGCGCCTCGTAGGGGCAGTCACGCGGGGCCCTCACCGAGCTTTCCGATTTTGACAGTTCCTCGCGGCAGAACGGGCTTAGGGGAGGCTTAGGGCGCTTTGGATTTCAGTCAAAATGCAGCTGTCATTTGCGGATTCAATATCGGCATGAAGGCTTACCTTGCCATCTCCGGAATAAGGAGTGGAAGACAAGCGTCAGACTCTCTTCTCTTGAACACAGCACAAACCAAAGCCAGCAGAGGAGTCATAGCTCAGTCCACCGGCGATCGCCTCAAAAGGAATACTCTGGTGATGTAGCACAGATCGCCATCACGATTGTCAGATGTAGTCAGGGCGCCAAATACACACGGCAAGCTAGACATATGCTGGTGAGAAGCATCACCACTGTCAGAAGAAGACAACAGATTCGGCCAGAGCCAGCGATCTGCTCAAGGCAACTAGTTTTACTAATGTAGGCAATAAAAACCATCTTCGAGGACTCTCGCCCTGATTCCACTAGCTCAGAACTCCACAGAAGATTGCTCAAAGCCCGTCGTCTTCTTCTCCGTTTCCGTCGGCAGGATCAAACGTTAGTCATTATGCCCAAAATCCCTACCCTGAAACCATGAAGCCTAAAAACCCCTACAGAGCCTGAAACCTACCCCTAAAACCCGAACGAAAGCCCCAAGCCCTGCTTGCAGCCAAGCCCGCCGCAGGCGAAGTCTTCTTCGAAATGCGGCGCCGCACGCCAGAAATAGGCATCCTCGGCTTCAGCCGTCTTCGGTCAAAGGCGTCTGAAGGCTTTAGGGCTCGATATACGGGTTACGATACAAGGACTGTTTTACAAGGGTGACCACAAGGGTTACTACAAGGGCCCAAAAACGCTATCAGTAACGGTTTTTAAGGTGCAGGCCTTAGAGCTTGTAAGCATTTCAGGGTATGTTTACGGCTGCCATGTGCTTCTACACCGACCATACAGATGGAAAGGCTCGAAGTTGGCGCAGCCGGCCTAAGGCTTCCAGAAGACGCGGGTTGAACACCCTCGATGATGGGCACGCCGTGGGGCAGCGAGAAGATTCTACCGGTTTACACGGCAGTGCAATTGTTTTCTTGAGGCTCCTGCGACTGTGATCTCAGGATCTTGCAGGAAGGATACAGACTGCAAAGGCTCTTGTCACTGTCATTGAAGCATCGGAAACAAGGATCCCGGCTAAACGGCTGATGCGTGGAGAGCTCAGACCTGAAGCTTCCTTTTTCTCGGTTGAGGCAGGCAGGTGAGCTGCATCGAAGAGAAGTGCAACATCTGTCCTAATCAACCCTAAACCTTGAAAGTCTAAACCCTACAACCTTAAACCTGAAGAGGGGCAAAGCTTGGCGAATCCATTCGACTCCACCACGGATCGTCATCGCGTATAAGCTGCGTGGTTTCGGAAGCTTCAACTCGCTGCGCTAATCGACACAAGAGCACAGTCTTCTGAAGTCCAGCTGCCCCGAGGATCTTGTGTTCTGCTTAAGCAGGGAGGGTCGTGACAGGAAAATCTGCAAACGGGATGAAGTCTTGGGAATCAGTCTTCGGGGCAACATACAGCTATCCAAGGCTGCAACATTCTGATCTTGCATGGAGACGCTGCGTCGATGGGCTTCAAGCTGTCCCTATTCCGGCGGCAAAAACAGTGACAACTTCTCACTACTATTACCACCACCACCACCTTGAGGGTTACAAGGATGATTTTCAAAGATGGTTCATTGGGTTGGGGCTTTGGGTTGGGGATTGAGGGTTACATGGATGATTTTTTGAAGATGGTTTCTTGGGTTGGGGGGCTTTGGGGTGGGGATTGAGGGTTACAAGGATGATTTTTTGAAGATGGTTTCTTGGGTTGGGCATAGGGGGGAGTGCATGGTTAGAAAATAGAAATGGTCATCACTAACTTGTAGAACCCTTGCAAGAAGCCTATGACCTTGCAGAACCTCAAAGAAGCCCCGAATCCTAAAGTCGATACCCCAAACCCCGAAACCCAAACCCATTCCGGGGCCGCGCTCACCTCAAGATCAGAGTCCTCTGCGTCGCTGGGCATCTCTCCAGCCGCCTCCGAGCTGCTAGCAGCCCTCAAAAGGGAGTTTTAAGCTTTGCGGCTTCAAGGCTTACAGTCTGGAGTTTGGGTTTTGGTGTTTTAGGGTGTTGCGGTTTCGGGTTCAGGGGTTCTTCAAGTGTGTGGGCATGGGGGTTTAGAGAGCAAGGGCTTAGGGTATGGCCTTAGGCATGAAACTCTCTGAGGTATGGTGGGAATGCAGCTAGAAGTGCCACAGTACCAATCGCAGAATGATGAAAGACATGATGAAATACCTGATGGGTGAAGCAACAAGGAAATCCGGCAGGTGAAATCTTAGGATGCACGCTGCTGGGTGCAAGGGTGGAGGCAGGCTGACGCATTACAGATTTGGTGTGATATAGTGATAGATAGCTTCGAAACATCAGATATGATAAGACAGTGTGACATAGAGCTGTCAAGCATGGTACATCATAACGTAGTAAACCATGACCGCACCATACCATACCCTGCAGCGCCATGTGAGACAAAACCAGGGATCATGACACCGTCTGAAATAATATATAAACAGAAGGCAGTGGCATCCAAAATAACTCCAAAGCCATAGGATCCCTATGCCGCGAATGAGGCACCACCGGGAGATGCACGCCAAAAGGGAATCTACCGTATAGTTGCTCCGGAGACACGTTACGTCGTACTTTGAACATGCAACCTGTAGAAACCCCGCAGAGAACCAGAATTCCTAATGAAACCACAGCCCGGCACAATGAGCACCACGCGAATCCTACCAAAAAAGATAAGCCTGCAAACTTACAAGACCAAGCCTTCAAAGCTTTACATCTCTGGAACCTGATGCTCACACCCATACCTGGACTGTAAACTGAACATCCTAAACCCCCCAAAGCCTCCAAAAAAACACCGTAAAAACCTCTGTCCCCCAGCCCCGTGCACCTCGGCCAAGGCCTCATCTCGCGCGCGGCGCCTCATTTGGAATACACGTCAGAGGCATGACATTTTTTGTGGTTTAGGGTTTAGGGACGTTTCCGCTCCAGGTAACCATAACCCTTACACTTTACACCCTCCGGCCCTGGCTCCAGGGGCTCAAATCCCTGAAGCCCACAACCCTCGTGCTTATATACAATCGTTGTTGTTAACCGTGTAACGTACAAAGTCTCACAGTAACACCAAAGCCCCAAGAATTTTGAACAACCGACCGTTTAGGCCTCCAGGATGCGAGACACCGTAACCCTGCCGGTAGCTCTACTTTGTAAGTCCACTCTCTGACGCAGGGAGCAAATGTCCCTTAAGCCCAACTCTACACCCTCAAGCCCTGAACCCTCACATCCTCAAACCCCGAAACCCTAAACCACGTGCCCGCATCCCCATCAAGGAATCCCACGCAGCCGCAGCGGCATTCTTGCTCTTGGCCTGGCTATTTCAAGGGTTCGGAGGTTTCGGGCTTGCTGCTGTCTTTGGGGCTTGTGGGCTTGAGGCTCGGGTTTCGGTACAATGTTCGGGGGAAACTGCGAGGTTGGCGGGCTTGGCTGCTGCTTCCTCTGTCCCGAACATCTTTGCGCAAGTGTTTATTAATGTGCACATGCATAAACTTGGCCATGTATGCTGAGTTATGCATGGCCGCATGTCTCCATAACAAGGATGGACTGCTAAATAGCAATCATCATAATAAGAACAAGAACAAGAATGATGACAGTAAGAACAGTCACCGTCATTATCATCATCATCATCATCATCAAAATCATGATCATGATGTAGCAGTAGTAGTAGTGGTAGTAGTAGAAGTAGCAGTCGTAGTAGTAGTAGTAGTAGTAGTAGTAGTAGGAGAAGTAGTAGTAGTAGTAGTAGTAGTAGTAGTAGTAGTAGCAGTAGTAGAGGTAGGAGTAGCAGTAGTAGTAGTAGTAGTAGTAGTAGTAGTAATAGTAGTAGTAGTGGTAGTAGTAGTAGTAGTAGAGGTAGGAGTAGCAGTAGTAGTAGTAG